CAGATACCATTTTTCTCTAAGAAGGAATATAATTGTGAGGATATTACCTTTTCTAGTATCTTGGACAGAAAATGAAGATTCGAGATCGGTCTGTAATTAACTACTTCTTTAGGGTCAAGTTGTGGTTTTTAAATGAGAGGCTTAATAACAGCCAGTTTGAAGTTTTTGGGGACATATCCTAATCACAATGACGAATTAACAATAGTCAGAAGAGGATCTATGACTTCTGGAAGAACCTCTTTTAGGAGCTTAGATGGAATAGGGTCTAACATACATATTGTCGGTTTAGATGATTTAACAATTTTATACAATTCTTCCTCTCCTATAGTAGAGAATGTGGTGATGCTTTATTTTTCATTAATTTAGCCACTGTATTGAATAAATACCTAAGGTTGTGTTTATTTTATTCTAAAAGAGATGAAAAGTGAGCAGCTCGAGCTGCTTTTCGGTTACACTTTATTTTAAGGTGTCCTTGTTACAGTGTAATTATACATTTAAGTACTGAGTAATATTAATTAACTACATGTACTTTCTATATGGTTAGGATTAGGTTTTGTCTTAGGGTTACTTGCATGTAATTATGCATGATTAATTGTTATTATAATAGTAAGTACATGTAACATGAGTAACAAGGACACCTTAAAATAAAGTGTTACCGGCTTTTCTGTAGGAGGAAGTACTTTCCCTCAATGCAATACGAAATACCTCTAGTTTTGTTTTCTTCCAGCTGCGCTCCATTTTCTGGGCTGCTCTGTTTAGGGCATGAGTGTGCTCGTTATACCATGGTGTTGGACCGTCTTCTTTAAGTGTAAAGGAGCAACAGTGTCTAAAGTGCTAGAAAAGAGAGAGTCCACAATTTCTGTAACAACATCAAGTTTTCCTTATCTACCGGATATGCTGAGGAATTGAGACAAGTCAGGAAGATAATTCACAAGCAGTTTTTTTTTTTTGTGATAGAAGTGAAGGTTCTACCATATTTTTTTTTTTTTTACAGCTTGAGCTATGTGGAGTGTACACAAACTTGATAATGATCTAATATATAGATCATTATCGCTCTGCTGCATAATTTCAACGCCATTAACATAAATTCCATGTGACAGTATTAAATCTAAAGTATGATTACGACAATGAGTAGGTCCTGACACGTGTTGTCTAACCCCAATAGAGTTTAGAATGTCAATAAATGCATCATTTTCATTATCAACATGGATATTAAAATCACCAACAATTAAAACTTGCAGCCAGCAATAACTCAGATAGAAAACCAGCAAATTCTTTGATAAAGTCTGTATGGTGCCCTGGTGGCCTGTATACAGTAGCCAGTACAAATTATTAAAACACTTATTACACTAATAAAATTATTAAAACACTTATTACACTTGATAATATTGCATAAAGCACCATTGCTTCAAACTTATTATACTTGAAATCAGACCTCTGAGAAATACTGAAAATATTACTATAAATTGTAGCAACACCTCCCCCTTTACCTTTTGGACGTGGCTCATGTTTATAACAGTAATCTTGGGGGGTAGACTCGTTTAAAATAATGTAATCATCAGGTTTTAGCCAGGTTTCTGTCAAACAGAGCACATCTAAGTTCTGATCTGTGATCATATCATTTGCAAAAAGCACTTTTGTAGAAAGGGGTCTAATATTCATTAAGCCAAGCTTTATCATGTGTTTATCTGCATTATTGTTTTTTTTTTATTTGTTGAAGATTAATTAAACTGTTACTCTTAAATTGTTTTGGACGTTTTTTGCATTTTCTAGCTCGGGGAACAGACACAGTCTCTACAGTGTGATATCTAGGTGAAAGAGTCACTATGTGCTGAGAATTAACTGATTTCTGTGACGTGAGGTGGCTAGCAG